GGGCGCGCTCTGGCGGGTGGAGTGTTCGGCAGCCGGTGCCGCCTGGTGGCGTTCCCGCAGGGTTTTTCGGCCTCGAGTAGCTGCTGGAGCTGGGTGAGCGCTCCGCTCTGGGGCGAGGAGCTCCCGTGGCCGAGACCCCGCTCCCCCCTTCTCGGGAGCGATCGGGGGTGCCGCAGGAGCTAACTCGGGTTTTTCACTGGGAGGTGGCTGCTTTGCGAAAGTGGTTCAGCCTTGTGTGCCACTTCGCTGGCCTAAAACTCTGATACTTAGATACGTCAAAGCGGTATGTAACGTTAAAACTAGATAGATAAGTTTTTCTTTTTTTCGGTAAGATGTGTTTGCCCTCTTTTTAAAGGTAAAAATAGTGCTTGAATTCAAATGACTACGACATTGTTATAAGTAACATAAATTAAAATCCTCCTAGTTGGCATAATATTTGTCCTCGCCTCATTTACAGTGTAATGAACTATATATATATATTTTTTACATAGTTTGATAATCACATATATTTGATTTTTGGTATGTTTGTCACTAAGAGCTCAGTGGGGTTTAACCTACTTGCCTTGCTGTAAATACACAGATGATGGTTTTATAGTAGGATAGGTATGAAAGAATATTCCTTAGAGTTTGGGTTTGCTTGAAACAACAGTGCATATAAGTTGCTGCTGTAAAATGGCTCATCTGTATTTTATTTAGGAAAAATGTAATCTTAAAATATTTTTTTTTTCTTTACAGGACCCTTCGATACGTTCCAGAAAGCTCCCAAGACAAAATTATCTCTGATGAAGATGTCTTTGAAACACTACTGCAAATATTTAAAGCTCTGTTCATAAATGACTTCAGTAGACAAGCACATATTTTGGCCTTATTTCCAGAAATCAAATGTAAATATCTGGAATTACTGACTGTTGAGCAGAAGCGATCAAAAGTAAATTCTTGTGACCATCAGAGTCAACATGTGTTTAGTCCAGAGGAAGTTCTGTTTAATACACTAGGGTTCAGTATTACTCGAGACCGAAGTTCCCTGGTGTCTGCTGGAACTGGAGTCTTTGTTACCAAAGGTTTTGTACCGAAGGGGATGGTTGTATCTATGTATCCTGGTAATGGAATGTTCTTTTTTCTCATTAAGTTAGATGTGATTTCTAACCATCTAATTATAGAATGCCAAAGTTCTACACTAATTTTTATTTTACGAGGTTTATTTCTGTCTTTCCTTAACAAAATCACAGGTTACGGTGAATGAGAATATTTCTGTGTAAACTGACTAGAGTTCTTTTGGAAAGAAGCAAAGCTATATTGGGGGGAGGAGGTAATTTTGTTTATTAAAAAAACTTTCAGTACTCAAAGTCTGATTTTTCAGCTGCTAGAAAAGTTTTTCCAGATTCTTTAAACACAAATGCATGGGAGCAATTTCACGTAGATGAACAATACAGTTTAATTCTTTGGGGTTTCTGTTTTGGATAAGGATCTGAAACATGAGGTTTTGAGGTCTCTGCACAAATCAGCAGACAAGACTATGAACATTTCCAAAGCACAAAAATACAAATTAGAGAATGAAAATAAAACCTTTATTTAGCGGAACTCTCTTCCATAAAGCATGTTTGGAAAATCAGCACTTCTCTGTTCCTCCTCCTCATTTCTTGGAACTGTATTTGCTTACATTTCTTAAAAAGATTTGTAATTCTGTCAGTATGGCCAAGCTAGGATAGCTCTGCTGAAATGCTCTGGATTTGTTTCTGTTTCATCTGTCAACAGAATCATCCCCTGCATGCAGTCTCTAGCTTGTGCCAGCATTGCAGGATCGGGACCAGTCCAAGCATGGGGCAGTGGAGCATGTTTTGCCATGCCAAAGCAGGAGTGTGGCCATTACCATTGACTGGTAAACTGACTAACTGTCAAACAACAGTCACAGGGAATGAGCCTGCCACCTTGCAGCTCGCTTCAAATTCCAGGCACACACTAAATGTGAGTGTAGGCTCATTGAGAGTCTCCTCTAGCAGCTCATCTAGCAAAACAAGAGGATGAGCTGTTGAAATGCCTGCCTTTTTCAGGGGTATGAAGGAACCTGGAGGGCTGCTGGCTGGGGAAGGGACCCTGTGGAAAGAGCAGGTCAGTGCTCTCCTGCCTGTTGTTTGGCAGTGAGTGCAGCCTGCCAGCGGGGCCTTGGCCTAGCTCCTCGTGAGATTGCAATGAAGGATTTCTGCAGAGGGTTGCTGAAGTCGTAGTGGGTGTGAGGAACGCAGGACTGCAATGTCATGAAAAATTGCAAGCCAGTGCGCTGTGACTTTTCTGTGCTGGGAATCCAGGGCAGGTTAAATCCTGTCCACGGATTTGGGAAACGGTCTGCTGAAATGATTTGTCTGATCCTGGTTTGGCATTTTCCCTCTCCTGTACCAAACAAAATCTCTGATCAGGGTGGTGGAGGTAGGTGTTTCAGGTTCTTTGCTGTCTGTGTGTGTGCTTTTCAGAGAGTCTTGACACAGTAGTAACAAAACAGCTTAATAACTTCAGCTGTGCTTTCCTGAACGAACATCACGAGATGTTTTCCTCTCTGAAGCAGGCCAGTTGGCTGTGATGCTTTATCTACCTCTCACATGGATACTGGACACAGGCCTTCTCTTTAATGATTTCCTTCAATGGCTTCTCTCTTTGGAATATCTCGGCTCATGTAGATTTTTTTTGCATCCCACATAGATGTGTCTAAAAGCTTTAAAAGGTTTACAAGTGTTAATGTCATTAACTGAGAGAGGAGTTCTCTCCTACCCCCTCTGTCTCCTTTGAGTTTCTGTGTGGAGGGGACTGGATGATATCATAAGCCCATTCTGACAGTTAACTTATTTTCTTCTGAAATAATCATCTCTGTCTTGCAACAGGTACGGTATACAGAAAGCATGAGCCCATCTTTTTCCAGTCCCTTGGCAATCCCTTTATTTTTAGGTGCATAGATGGCGTCCTTATTGATGGGAATGATAAAGGACTGTCAAAATCTGTGTACAGGTAAGCAGTCAAAAGAAATAGGGGATTGACACTCAACTGATTTAAAACAGCGGTACTAACAGTCTCAGTTCCCTGTTGTCTTACCCTAAATTGAGTTACATTTGAATATCATCCACCTATGTGTATCTCATAATGCAAACAACACAAGGGTAAGAGCTGCTGGATGTGATCTGTTACGTACTTGTTGTGTCTTCATCTGTAACGCCAATGAGATGCGTTTTGATGTACAGAGACTGTTTCCTGTAAAGAAAGTAGTTTTAATAGGAGCAGGTTGTAGCAGAAAATATTTTAAAATGCTTCTGAGCTGTTACCAAATCTGTTTAGTGGATTAAAAAAAAAAAAAAAAGCCTTTATATGGACTTGCTAATGCCAAAAGGGTGAATCTGGTAACGCCGGCTCTGGTCTACAGATGAGCACTTAAGAAGGGAGCAGTAACTCTTATTATTGCTGCTGCTGTTACTATTATTATCTCAAGTTGGAAGGGACTCATAAGAATCATGGAGTCCAACTCCCTGCTCCTCTCAGGACTACCTAAAAATAAACCACATGACCAAGAGCGTCGTCCAGGTGCTCCTTGAACTCTGACAGGCTTGGTGCCATAACCGCTTCCCTGGGGAGCCTGTTCCAGTGACCGACCACCCTCTCGGTGAAGAACCTTTTCCTAAAAATGCAATCTGAACTGCCCCTGACATAGCTAGCCTGGCCTGTTTTAGCTTACCTTAAAATATAATTTGCAGCAATTTGTGTTTAAATATGACATGAAAAAATAAAATTAGTAACAAGCAAAATGATCTAAAATAATACCTAATTTGAATACTAGTACCTACTAGTACCAGATTTTAATTCTGGGAATGAGTTTGAAGTTGATATTGTAATGAGCCTTCACATCTTCAGAGGTGAACAAGATGTGTTGACACTTCTGTAATGGTAACGTTTGATCTTGATTTCTGGAATTGCACGTGGTGGTTTTGTGCGGGTTCTTCCACCAGGGTCTGAAACACACCACACGCTAGTGGGAGGTTTAAATGTACTTTTTAAAGTATCATCAAGGTGTTGGTCCGTGCACACACACCCTCACCCCAGTGTTGTCCTGTCTCCCAGGTGGGTTGGACAGCTGTAACTTTACCCAGTGACTGTGGCCATTTCTACAGGAGGAAGTACAGGTAACCTGTTAAGTGCAGGAGCAGTGATTCACATTAACACTGTCGGTCATTTCAGGTCTTGCAGCAGGAGAGATCAACTTGGCCCATTTCAAATGAGCGATGAGAGCTGGCTTACAGCTGCCCTGCAAAACCCACTGGCGGTGGGACAGTATGTCAACAACTGCTCACATGGTAAGTTGCCAGGTAAACTTTCCAGGCTTAAATTTGTCTTTATGGATATAAATTATTTTGGAGGTGACACAGAGAACCAGATACCGATCTTGGGGCACAATAGTGCTGTTTAAAACAAGGTAAGCGCTTAGAGGATAAAGAGTTTCTGAGGCTTTTTGTGACAGCTGGGTGTTGGAATCCCCGGCGCAGCGACGCTTCAAATACACTTGTGCTTTTCTCACTGACTCCCCCCAGTCCCCCAGTCTCCCTCCTAGTATGTAGAATGAAAGGCACACATCCCAAAATGTGAGATGGTGGGAAAGGGTAGGACCGCTGGGCTGAGGCAGTACACAGAGTTGCAGATAAAGTTCCCCAGTGTGGTTCAAGCAGGCTTCATGAGAAAACCATAGGCACAGTGAGTGACATGTACAGTAAGATTCTATCACTGCTCAGTTCGAACGATAATACTTTTTTTAGACTTCCTTATGTTTATGCGCAAAATCTAGAAACTTGGTATGCTCTAGCTGTTGGACATGAAGAGAGGAACTATTTATTTATTCTGTCTTGCACAGTATGTGTTGGTCTTAAGGTTTGGTGGAATAAATAACTCATGGGAATGGTGGTGAGGTACAGAAAGTTGAATTGCTGCCATACCTAGCTTCTAAGTGGCTTTCGGAGCCTGCATTACACTAAAGAAACCCTGCCTCCAAGTAGCGTCCAGAAAGGTTGCTGGAGTAACGAACCAAGTATTGACTGGCACGGAGACAGAGGGCTGTCCCATGAAACTGTTTCTTCCAGGTCCAGTGTCCATGTAAAGAAAATTCCCTTCTTCCTGCTGGACAGATGGTGATTTTCTCCCTGGCTGTATTTATGACATATTTTGCCACCAGGAAAATTTTTTTTCAAGATTGTTTTTTAACTGTAAAAGCAAATGTTGTACATTAACAACATCTAGCAATGCTGGAAGCTACCCCTGGTGCTATGCAAGTTGTGCCCCTTCATTCATGTGTTGATAATCAGGTCATCCTGCTTAATGCAATAAGGATGAATTAAAGCTCCTGTAGTTGGTTGTGTATCTCCTGTGTAAATTCCAAATAGGACTTCAGAGGAATGTAGTAGCTCCCAACAGAGGCATGGTTTTTGGGCTTGATGAAGCATCTGGTACTTTTGCAGCAGTACGTTTGATATTTATACACATCTCTAAATCCTATCTAAGATTTTCTCAGTATCATAGAGACTTTTTTTTTCTTATTTCTAGAAAAAGCAGCCAACGTGTGTTATCAGGAGTTTGATGTGCCGGGATATTTTCCAGTAGAACTGAAACAGTATCTTCCAAACATCGTCTACAGCCATGACATAGAGAGGTCAGCAGCGAATGAAGGAGCTTACAGATTTGTATGATACAAAGCATACTGTATGTGTAAAAAAGACAAACTTGGTTGCAGAACAATATTATTCCATATGAAGATGAGTTACCCAAAAGTGTGCACCTGTATGGAAGAGTTAGCTCTTTGAATACACTACTTCTAAGTGATTTACAAGACTATTTCTTTTTGTTCCTTTTTCCACATCTTTGCAAATGAGATCAGCATAGTTCTGAAGGCACAGTTTTACAAGCAGTGGTTACACTGTAGTGTGATTCTTCTGAATCCCATAAAGCACTAGTTACATTTTACTCGTATTACAGTACTGAGGTTTTTCAGTATGTATTTTAAATGTAGTTAGCAACGCTTAACCAATCAAAGCCCTTTTAAGGTAGTTGAGATTTAGGCTTCTTACTCTCCTGGTCTCCATGTGAGGAATGGAGAGGAATTCCTCTATGTGAGGAATAAGCAGATGAATTTGCAAGAAGAAACCTAAAATTAATTTGTATTGAGACAAGTGAAATACTATGCATTATAAAGGCATGTGACTTTTAGTTACACTACACAATTACAACATCCTCATTACGACCTGAAAATCCACCTCTTTTAGAAATTAAAACACTTAGAAACCTTTCTCAGATTTTTGTTTGGAAATGTGGGAAAAGTGACAATTAGATGAATATGTACAAGGAGCAATATGGACAACAAGGACAGACAATATGTCTGGAAATGAGTGTCCTGTACTGTGATATAGTCACGAATAACTTTGAAGCTGTGACAAACTAAGTTGTAATGTTGGTCCTGAATTTAACACACCAAAGAAATTGCGCTTCTGGTCCCGTTGCTACCTTCAGGAACCAAGTAATCCTCTTCATCTAGAGAATATATAAGGATTTTAGAGCAGATCATCTAGACTTTTAATGTAATTCTGGAGCTATTTTAAAACTCTGAAATTTGGTTGGAGAAAGTTACGGTGCATATTGGAAAGACGGCTTTTCTGGTTAAACTTAGACTTTGTTGAGGCAAGGTTAAAGATGCACTTGTAATCTGCAGGTAAATAAGTAAATGCTAATAAAAGAAGTGGTAAGACTGAACTTTCCGGAAGCCTGGATGCTGTATTTGAAGTGTGAATGTGCAGTGAGCAGAGCTAAACTATGGGACCGTTTCAGGAAGGGGGAATTTTGCTCTCTTCCTTGGAATCTGTCCAAGAAAATAGTCAGTCACCAGTTCTCCCAGCGTACAGGCACCAGACAAAAGATCCCATCTGCTTCTAGCTGTTTGTTTTGATACTGGTATTTACAGTGCTGACAACATAGGTAATCTGGTTTCTAAATCTTTTTCTGTCTTGTAAAAGAGTTCTTGGTACTTGTTTACCTTTTTGTTATTGTTGTTTGATTTGTTTCAAAATGGCCTCAATTTGAAGACTAAATTTCTTAGTAATGGGGACTGTTGGGTTGGTGCTGTTCTTCACTTTCACGTTCATCAGCGTCAGAAGAATGTGCTCTCCCTCCTAGAATAGATACTTGAGCTTTAGGGCATGGTCATTTACTTAAAGGAAGTTTAGGGGGGTGGGTTCCTAAATCTGTCTGTAAGAAAACTGTTTGCCAGCCACTGATTTCAGCTTGGGGTTTATGGAGAACTCACCCATCATCGTAGACTGCAGCAGGTCTCTGATGCAGTTCAGAGCTGTCTTTCTGGACGTTGTTCGGCTGAGAGCAGGTTTAGCCAACCTAGCACCTGTGGGTGGGCCTGTCTAGAGGAAGGATTTCTGCTCCGTGAACTTTGCTGTAGCTTCTCCTCCTGTCTGTGTGTCTTTTTCTCTGTCTTGACTAATTCTTTTCATTTCTGAATAATTGTGTGAGTGGAAACATTATATGCATACCCACACAGGCTGTGCTGTTTTTGGTAATTATATTGGTTTTACTTGTATTTGCTATCTGTATTTCAGTGTTGTTTTTCCAGGCTCCTTGGCCTGCATTATGCGTATTGCTCCCAAAAGTGATCTAGACAGGAGCCATTGTTTTAGCTCCTTGCCGTGAAGAATTAAAAAAAAAAAAGGCAAGTATAATTGTTCACTTCCGCATGTTTTGCTTTTCCTTTTTTTCAGCCACCCAAGGTGTGTAGTGCTTGTCACTCTCAGAGACATCAAGCAAGGAGAAGAACTTTTTTCTAATTACTACACTGTTGTCAGCTGAATTAGTAGATTGAAGACTGAAGAAATCTATGTAATTAAAATACTCACTCTGTGTGTACTTCAAGCTTCATGAGCATTTTAACATAACGAAGGGCTGTAGCTTTACCATTTAGAAAGCAAGCGGCAGGCTTGTATTTCCCTGAAGATACTCCACATGTGATGCAGAGGTGAAGGTTTAACCATTTACATCATTAGGTTGTCAGCTGTCTACTGTTGTTGATATTATTGCTTATTGGCGTTCAGCTGTCCATACAATAGCTCATAAAATAAAAACCTAAGTTCTGGACATGTCATTTAATCTTCTGGTTTGCACAGTTGTCTGAATATTTTGCCATTTCACTTCTCGTGCTTACAATGGACACAATGTGTAAAAATTACTTCCCTCTCGTGAACTCTTCCTTGGGTAATCCTCATAGTTCACAGCAATTACTAGTTCTTGTTCTGGTTTTCTTGGAGTTGGTCCCTTTGGTATCTGCTCCCGTTTAGAAAGTATTTCAGTGTAGCCAGTTGTCCAGGTCTTTTACGAAGCCAGTTTTGGAGCAGTGCTAACAGGCACTTCGGATGTGCCTGCATGGTGCGCTGTCACCAAGAGGCCAAGTTGACCCACTGGCTTTAGCTATGCCTGTCCTGGGGCGGGAGGAAAGATGATATGTATCTTGAAGCCCTGTCCAATCCTACTTTCAGTGGTTCAGTGAAAGTTTCCTGGCATGTGGCAACTTTCATAGCTTTTATTCTCAAAGAGAGAGAACTTCATGTTGCAGTGTAGCTGGAGGAAATAATGCCAACCAAGGGTGGTGTGTATTTTTTTTAACGAGTTACTGGCATAAACAGAGCCAGCCATTCCCGCGTTAATTTTTGCTGCTGTCTGCAAAGTGCCTCCAGAAAGTAAACAAGAGACAGCTTGTCAGTCTTTTGGTCTGGCTAAACAGCTTGGGAAAGAAAAATCATCCCAGTATTTACTGCAGAAGTCCAAGCAAGCCTCCCAATGCATTTGTGGTTGGCATAAGCTCATGAGAATGGGGGAGCCGGGAAACCGTGTGCTCTAACGAATCTGGTAGTGGTTGGGGCAGCCAGGGTGCCCTGCTTAGCTGCGGAAGCATCCAGTCTCCTTTTCAGAATGCAAAGCTTTTCGGTGTCTGTGTTACCTGGTCTCCTTCTAAGCCTGAACCTTGTCTTTCATCTGGAAGTCCTTCTCAGCCAGAGAAGGCTGGCTTTTTCAGGAGGATTTAAATAGCAGAGCTATGAGATAGTGGCATGTGGCTCAGCACGGGTTGTACACGTTTTATGAAGATGCGGGGGACAACTTCTAGTGACAGTCCTTCTGTCTTGACTGCGTGGTAACAGATCAGAGCAGGCGGTGATCTCCAGTCTACTGAAGAGGACGCTCATCCTCCTCACTCTGAGGATCCCTTCTCTCCTGAGCTGGGCCTTCTCCCCAGCGCTCTGGGAGGAGGTTATTGGGCATCTCTTGATCTCTGAAGAGGAGGCTGGTTGTCGGGGCGCCTGCAGTGTTGCTTAGCGCAGCAGGTCAGGGTTTATGGGTAGGTGGGGAATACTAGTCTCAGCATGCCAGAAAAGGCAGGTGCTGTTCATGTTCTCCAGGCAGGGATGCTGTCATGCGAGGGTGATTACAGCATAGATTACTTCAGCTGTCTCATTATACACTTGTTAATACTTTTTAAATTGCCAGATTTGAAAGTATACTTCTGTCTGACAGCTGTGAAACTTAGGTTTACGACTCATTTATTGAGAAAGGTTTGCTTTACTGCACTTGCTGCCTCCTGGATGTGAATGTTGCACAGTAGTGGAGGACTGCAGTGCTGAAGTGCAGGCTCCCTATCACTAACAGGGTACGTGGGACTGGCTTCTTGCTGAAATAGTGAAACCCGACAGCCTGCTTCAGGGACTGCTCATACATGAGGGAAAGCAAGACCTGGCCTGCAACTGGCAGCAGCAATTGACTTCTGTCTGCTGGTGGCTACAGAAAGCCAAAACGTGGCAGGAGGAGGAGGAGTAGGTGCAGTCAGGTGGTACTTCTGAGCCAGAAGCAGCACAACATGGGGACTGAGTAGAAGAAAGGAAAACGGGAGAGCAGAAATAATGGTCCAGTAAAGTGCTACAGCCTGTGAAAGGGCTTCAGGTATATCAGACTTCCTTGTCTTTAGCCTCCTGTCTCTTCATTGAAGGTGAAAGTCATTCTAATTCGCTGTGTGCCCGTTCATTACCACCAAACTGACACTGCCAGTGCCTGAGAGGAGGATGCATTCTGACGTTATTTCAGATGTAATGTGCAACCTGATAATAACCCAGTAAAATTCTCTATGCAAGCTATTTATGGTTTGTTAATAATCATTCATTACAGTAAGTACAACCTCTCTCTTGAAAGATGATTTGCCTAGGTGATTTTGATTGGAATTCCCTAAAAATAGGGACTTACTTGGCTAACTCTGCTTTTATATGCCTGTACACTTAGTGGTAGAAGAAGGAAAGGAAAATCAAACTAAAATTTAAGGTAGTTTCAATTACTGACAGGCCAGATCCGCTAAGTCCTTCTCCTAGATGCGGACCCATAGTCTGCACATGTTAAAGTACTGTACTAATCAGGAGAGAATTTGTATGTTTAAATCTGTTGCCAGCTGTGATGCGCTGGCGGGGATCCTCAGTGAGGATCACCAACTGTCTTGGGCGTGGCTGGGATGGAGCCAGCTTTCCCCGCAGCAGCCGTCACAGTGCTGTGCTTTGTGGCAGCTAGAAGGGTGCTGGTGCGATTCGGCTACCGCTGAGCAGCGCTCCTACAGCGTCAAGGCTGACTCCCCAACCCCCTTACCCCCAAAGGCCAGCAGGCTGGGAACAGGAAAGAGGTTGGGAGGGGACATACCCAGAACAGCTGTCCCAAGCTGACCAAAGGGATATTCCATACCATATGACGTCATGCTCAGCAATAAAAGCTAAGAGGAAGGAGGAGGGGAGGGGGCATTCGTTATTAAGGCGCTTGTCTTCTGGACTAGCCACTATGCATACCGAGGCCCTGCTTCCCAGGCAGTGGCTGGACAGATGGGAAGATGAGATGGGAAGTGGAGAATAAATATTTTTGTTTTCCTTTGCTTCTGCACAGCCTTTGATTTTCCTTTATTAAACTGCCTTTATCTCGACCCACGAGTTCTTTTTCATCTTAATTTCTCCCCCCCCCCCGTCCAGCTGAGGAGGGGAGTGATAGAGTGGCTTTGTGGGGACCTGGTGTCCAGCCAGGGTCAAGCCACCACCACAACAACACAAGAGCAAAACCAGGAGAGCATGGGGCAAATGGAAAGGTTCACCACTGCACAGAGAGTTTTAGGCTTATTTTTCCTGTATTTGTCTGAACTCCTTACCCCTGTGGTAAATGTCCTGGTAGTCCTGGTGCTGCCGGCGGGGGAGTCCCCTGATTGCAGGCACCGGAGCACAGCTTGCCAACTTGTGGGGGTTTGCGCAGCCAAGAAGCTTAGCAGGTTCAGCAGGAGCAGGAGTATGGAGCCCTTGACACTACAGTATTGATTCGGAAACACTAAGGGCCAGCTGCTGCTGTTTAGATGGTGAAATCAGATTTTGGAATAAATGAGATTGCATCAAGAGACACCCAGCTGGTCTCACCAGGCTCTTCTGAAGAGCTCTGCAAGGCTCTGACTTTTGACTTCTTGGCTCAAAAGGCAAAGCTGGTGGTAACAGTTGACTGTAATTCTCCGGGAGGTTAAGTTGTTAACTGGAAACCCTGTTGATTTGGCATTGCAGGAGAACAGAGGTGCTTGAAAGAACAAGAGCTAACAAACTTTGCAGGGGTGCTGCAGACTCCCAGAAAGAATAAAGAGATGGCCCACAGCAGGAGAGGGATGTATCTGCTGGGGGAAGGAGCTGCAAGGGGTCAGCAGAAGAATCGGAAACTCACTTTAAAAAAGCAATTCTTAATCAAGCTACTGAAGTACTCAGTACTGAATCAAGATTCTGAAGTATCACCAGTGTGATTTAGAGCGGGGGGCATGAAGTAGCCTGTGTCAGCTTTCCCGGTTAGCACGCCTGTGTTTGAAATGCCTGTCCACATGGGGAGCGCACCCTGAAGGGCTGGGCTGGGGGGCAGTTGGTGGCAGCTCAGAGCCCCCTCAGGGCTTCGTTCTCAGACCTGTTTTATCCGTCACCACGGTGTGTGGCCATGGAGAGTGTGATCAAGGCAAACCACATCTCCCTGCTGTGGTGCTTCTGATTTGGAAGGAATGAGTTTGTCAGGCACTGAAAAAAATATACTCTTAAACTACTGAAGGGTATGTATGTATGCATATATTTTAATATATATGTGTGTGTGTGTATATATTCATACATATACACAGGTATGTTTCTATACAGGTATACGTGTATCTAAGTGGGACTGGTATAGGGGCCGCGGTTCCCCAGGCAGCTCCCATGGCACTCTGGTAGGAGGAGAGGGGGAAGGGTGTGAGTGTGCGTAAATGCTGCTGCTCATCCCTCCCTCCTTCCCTTGCTCTCAAAGCCACCATTCCTTCCTGGCCACTGCTCGTCAGGCCCTACCGTGAGCTGATCTGACTCGCTAAACATGGTGACACCACCACCACAAACCCCAGGCTTTCTTGCTTGTTTTGCTTTCTGCTATTGCAGCGAGCCGAAACAGCTCATAGAGGGGCCAGAGCGAGTGAGCCAGCAGGAAGCCTATAGGTAGTGGCTGCAAGTTGCTAATTTATTTGACTCGCTGGATCTTATGAACCCATGCTTTAAGACACTTTGATTTTGTGTGTAAAGGTGATGCTGTGCTTACCCGACAGCTCCTCGTTGCCTGCCGGGCTGCTCTGCTCCCTGGCTGCGTTCTCCTTCCCCATGCTAGTTCCGGAGCTCACCTGGCGACACAGAAAACCGAGTCAGTAGCTGCAGCAAAAGGGAGCGATGCTCTTCTGCCAAGGTCATGAACTGCGTCAAAGCTGTTTGCACAGCAGGCAGACGCGCGCCAGCGCTAAGGCAAAGGAGCAGGTGGGGGTAAGCAGCCACACTGCAGGGCAGGGGGAGGCCCACGACTCCAGCATAGCGGGAAGGCAGCAGGAAAGCATCTGCAGAGGCATCCTGGCCTCCTCCCGTATCGGAGGGCCAAGATTTGCTGGGAGCTCTAAATTACTTTTCCCTAAAGAGAGGGAAGAGAAATCCAAGAACTAGTAAAAAGTGTTTTAGCAAACTGATTGCTGGGGTTTATGCTTCTAGTCTTTGCTGCCTTGCATTTTGTGTACAAAACAAGGACTCGGGCACCGAACACCCAAGCACCAT